TGGCAAGGATTCAAGGACCTTCTCCTCCAAGCTCAGGATTGACACACCTCAGTGGAGAGAAGTTGGGTAAAAGCACCAGGAGTTCTGTGTGGATGAACAAGCAGCTCCTGGACAAAGTGAAGCAAAAAAAGAAGCCTACAATGGGTGGAAGCAGAGACAAGTAGACTAGGAGGAATACAGGGAAGTTGTCCAAGAAGTAAGGGATCAGGTTAGAAAAGCCAAACCCCTGACGGAATTGAACCTGGCCAGGGACATCAAGGGGCAACAAGAAAGGCTTCTATGGGTACATAGGGGATAAAAAGAAGATCAGGGAAAATGTGGGTCCTCTGTGGAAGGAAACAGGAGAGCTGGTTCCCCAGGATATGGAGAAAGCTGAGGTACTCAATGGGGTTTTTTTGCCTCAGTCTTCACTGGCAAGGGCACAAGCCATACCCCCAGTGTCAGGGAAGACAAGGGCAGGGACTGGGAGAATGGAGAGCTGCCCATGGTCAGTGAGGATCAGGTTGGGGAATGCCTGAGGAACCTGAAGGTGCACAAGTCCATGCGACCTGATGGAACACATCTGTGGGTCCTGAAAGAACTGGTGAATGGGGTTGTGAAACCTCTCTCCATCATATTTGAAAAGTCGTAGCGGTCTGGTGAAGTTCCCACTGATTGGAAAAGGGGAACCATAACCCTCATCTTTAAAAAAGGAAAAAAGGAGGATCCGTGGAACTACAGGCCAGTCAGTCTCACCTCTGTGCCTAGCAAGACCATGGAGCAGATCCTCCTGGAAACCATGCTGAGGCACCTGGAGAATGTGATTGGTGACAGCCAACATGGCCTCACCAAGGGCAGATCGTGCCTGACGAACATGGTGGCTTCTATGATGGGGTAAACAAGAACAAATGCCAGATTCTGCACCCAGGGCAGAGGAATGCCAGACACAATTGTAACCTGGAGTGGCTGTAGAGCAGCCCTGCAGAAGGGGCGCACTCACTGACTGTAAGCTTAACATGAGTCATCGTTGTGCCCTGGAAGCCAAAAAGGCAAACCACATCCTGGGGCACATCAAACACAGCATAACTAGCCTGTCAAAGAGGTGATTATCCTGCTGTATTCAGCATTGGTGCAGCCTCACCTTGAGTACTGTGTGCTTTTCTGGGCCCCTCCCTTTAAAAAGGATGTTAAGGTACTCGCATTGTGCTGGGTTCAGGCAGGGATGAGCTGCTGTCCTGCGGAGAGCTGGCCGGCCTAAGATCATGTTTCATTCCATGACACATCAAGCTCAGTGGTCAGTCTGCAAGGCATGCAGTTTTGCAGCAGTTGCCAAGGCACAAAAATGTGGCCCGGAAGCGGTGGGGTGTTTAGGTTTTTGGGGGCTAGGAAATAGCTTTGCAGATAGTAGTGGTGGGCTGTAAGCAGAGAATGAGCCTCTCTTGTTAAGTTGATTTGCTGTGGGGTTGGAATCTTCTGTCTCCTGGCTCTTGGGCTTTTGGGCTCGGGGAGTGGGGTGGTTTCCTCTCTGCTTTTTGGGCTCGGTGTCTTGTGGTCTGTTTCTGTGTTTGTTTGGTTTTGTTTGGTTTGGTTTGGTTGGTTGGGTTTTTTTTTCCCCTATCCATTTGGATTCTGTTTTGGTGCCTTGGAATCTGGCTGTGTCAGTCCATAAGCGGTGAGATCCTGTATCATATGTTCTATTTTCTGTTGTTTTAATTACTTACTGGCAGTAGCATTGTTAGCGACTCCATAAGTTTCATTTACATAATTAAATAGTTCTTATCTCAACTTTTACGAGCTTCCCTTTGTTTTTTTCCTCCAACTCTTTTCCACTGAGAGAGGGAGGAGTGGTAGAGCGACTGGTGGTACTTAATTGCCAGATAAGGCTAAACCACAACAGAATGGATCCAAAGGAGGGAAACAAAGCTGGTGAAAGGGCTGGAAGGCACATCCTATGAGGAGTGTCTAAGCACACTGGGGCTGTCTAGAGGAAAGGAGGA